ACCTAAAAGTTAAAAAAAAAATAAATTACAGTGAAAGCAATAGAAGTATTTTGTAGGTTTTAGAACCAAACTAAATAACTAGTAAACTTTTTTTGATTTATGGTATATTCTTATTTTGATGTTTGAGCTCTATTATGTTTAGAACAATATATACTAATTTTTAAAGTATCAAATTAAATTTTTGTTCAATAAAAATCTTTCAAATGTGACTGTAGCTTTTTTCCCCTAAAACTTTGTCTTCAAAATAAGGATGCGTCTTATACACCGGTGCGTCTTACATTCCGAAAAATACGGTAATTTGGAACACTAATTTCAATTAGTTTATTATTATCATGTCAATTAATGTAATTGGAATTAAAATTAATCAATTGTTGGAATACTCGGGAACACTAGATTTGAGTAATCTGTTTAATTGTAATTTCAGTTAATTGATTAGTTTATGTGACACTAATTAATGAAATTTTTGCTCATAGGTAATCGGTTAAACCATACATCTCTAAGCCCAGGAGTACCTGAACTTTTAATTAAGCCTGGTAGACCATTTACATTTCTAAATTGAAGCCAGAGGCCTAGAATTTTTACTGCCTTACCTATAACAGTTTAAATACACCAGATTTCACTGCAGCCCCCCCCCCACCCTTTGTTTTTGAACCACCTTAAATTTCCACTATATTGCCTTTGTAATTCAGTGACACCATTCAAAACACAGAATTTCCTCGCACATGTTGGACATCTGACCAACACTTCAAGGATAAATCTATTTTCACTGAAAGACCTTCATTTCGAAAATGATACTTTTTCAATTCTGTGTACAATTATTGGTTATTAGTTGCACTTGACATAACTATAAGAATACCACATTTTATTTCTTAGTACTTTTTTAATCATTTTTATGTTTTCAAACTTCAGTTAAGCTTACTAGATCTTGTAAATACAGTCAACATCCCTTGATTTGTTTAATCCTACTTTTCTCTCACATTTAACATCAATTAAACATCTGTTTCCCACATTATCTAATAATTATTAGTCTTTACATAATTTGCTTTCTGTATAACTGAAATAAAACTGATTTGTTTACTTGTCAGTTACCATTTTTAAAAAGCACTTATCTCACAAGATTGTTTTTTTATTTTTATAAAGATATTGTTGTGACTTAATATACCAATGTGTAATGTGTCAAAATCCTCTTAATTTTTATAATAAAATTATTCAGTTGGAAAAATGATAAATTTTACACATATCTGTACATCTGTGTACTTTCAGTTGCTCTTCAGGCCCTGAAGAGAAAAAAAAGGTTTGAAAAGCAGCTGACCCAGATCGATGGTACTTTAACAACAATAGAGTTTCAACGAGAAGCCTTAGAAAATGCAAATACTAATACAGAAGTTTTAAAAGTCATGGGAGTTGCTGCAAAAGCATTGAAAAATACTCATGAAATGTAAGCTAAACATTGATAAATTAAGCCTTTAAAATACTGCAATTTGTCAAAAGCAAAAGAATTTCTTGTTGTATAAGGATAAAAATTGCCAATTTCACTTGAACATAGTTTTGAAATATAAAGTGTAATAGAACTTGAAATTTATGGTAGAAAAACTTATGAAAGAAACCATAAGCTATTATACAAAAATTTAAAATTGTACATGAAACAACTATTCATATGAATGATAAAGATGTATATGTAAGAATTTGTTAAATCTGGCATTACACAGATTAGATATGAAAGGTAAAATGTGACTGTTTACTTCTGTGTGCACAGGCAAAGGTCAAAGTGCACAAACTATGACCTTTTACAGAATGCCATTCAACATGGTATTATGTATTTGATGTCAGAGTTATCAACAATTTATTTTACCAGTTTGCGGTAGAGGAGAGTAAATACCAGATACGATAGACAGGGATATTGAAAAAACTGTAGATATGCATTTTTGATGTTCTAGGGACTATGCAAGTGCAATATGCAAACTATGATGAAAGAAAGTGTTCTTATTCTTCACATGAACCGTTCACTCCAACTTGTATGGGTCTGAGTCAGACTGACATTGTCAGTTCACAGACACATTTTGAGTGGAAATACGTATGTAAATCATCTGATTTTTTGTGTATAACAGATTTATAAATTTTACTGAAAGCTTGCCACATTTTGTATAGATACAAATTGGAATTATAGGCTGTGCACATATGGTTATTGAAAACCATTCTTTGGTAAAAGTCTGTGTGTGTGTTCACATATAACTGTCAAACTGAGTAAACTGGAATGGACAACAACTGCCTGTTGCAAAAAAATACAAGTGTCGAGGATGATGTTTCGAAAGTCTTCTGTCTTTCAAAATGTCATCCTTTACACTTGTGTTTTTTACAACAGGCAGTTGCCGTCTATTCCAGTTTACTCATCATGAATACTCTGCCTAAACAAACAATCAAAAACTGTCAAACTGATTATCAATAAATGTGGCATGTACCTTTAGGTCACCCCAGAGAGTAATATAAAAGGGCTTGTATTTAGACTAGGCCCTCCCTCTGTCACTCGCTAAAGGTTCTTATGTCATTGTCGTATGTTGAAGAGACAAGTTAAATAGTAACTCGTATATAATGAGAGGTTATCTGACTTCTGGATTGAAGTTATTTTGATAAATATCCTGTTTGTTAAAGATCCTTTATAACAACCAATCCCTAAAATGTTTTCTCTAAAATCCAAGTTTAATGAGTGTTTATCTAATAAATGTGGTCATTCAATTAAGCACAAGTTAAGCAAGAGCATATCTGTCACAGATGACTCAACCTTCTAAAATATTGTATCATTAATGCTTATTTAGCTGTTCTTCTAAACTACTCAACTTTTTGAAGTTAACAATTTCATTCACTTACTCTCTAAGACCATATTGATCCTAAGTTGTAGAACCCTGATGTTCCCCTGCAATGTGTCAAAGTATTTTAAAATTATGTAATCTGTTTTCAACATATTATGCACATAGATTGACAGAATATCCATGTTTAGCGTGTGTTGAAGTATAGTCATTCCATTTCGTAACATAAACATGAACATACAACACAGTTTAGTGCAACAACAAAAAATATGTACCCAATTTCATTGATACTAGCTATTTGCAGACTGGAGAGTCTCCTGATTTATCCTGGTGTACATCAACTCGTATGCTTTAACCAGTACTAATATTTTCAGTCAGATACTTCTATTGTATACCTGTCATTATGATGAACCAAATATATTACAAGTACAATCTTGTAAAGGTTATCATAGAGATGAACCAAATATATTACAAGTACAATCTTGTAAAGGTTATCATAGAGATGAACCAAATTTATTACAAGTACAAGCTTGTGAATATTATTATATAGATGAACCAAGTATATTACAAGTACAAGCTTGTAAAGATTATCATAGAGATGAACCAAGTATATTACAAGCTTTTGGCTATTAGAATATACTCAATAAGTGCCGTATTTTTGTGGCCTGTATGTACATGATTATTCTTTAGTTATTTATATATAATTTAGTGTATGTCATTATTGAATAGAGAAAAAAACAACAACATTTTGTGGTGGAATTACTACAGAAAAAGAGAGAGGTATTTATTACATGAACATTTGGTTTATGAAGTAATTGTTTTTTGTTTGTCTTTTCTAATTTACAGATGTGGGACTATAAGATGTCATTTCTTTTGTTTGTTAAATTTGAATGTTTGTTATAAACTCGTGTATTTCTTTTTTAGGGATATTGATGATGTACAAAACCTGATGGATGAAGTACAAGAGCAACAGGAAGTAGCCAATGAGATATCTGATGCTATATCAAATCCTGTAGGCTTTGGACATGACATTGATGATGTAAGCTTATATTTATGTTGTCTTTAGACTTTCAGTGTATTGTAGATCAAGTTTTTCTTCTGTGCTTTCATTTCTATCTTGTATTTGAATTTGATTCAATTCAGCAAGTTGCACTAATGGTCAAGAATAACCATTAAAAAAATGTGTTTATATGAACCATTACTCACGATTTGATGTATTCTTAATTATATCTATAGGAAAAAAAACAATTAATAAGACTTCCTTTGTTCAACAGTACTTTTTTTTTTAATTTCATTCATTTATGACTAAGTTATGCATGTCTGGGATGCAAATGCTGACCAGAAACTTGATTATTTTTATATAATTTGCATAAAATTAAATGAGCTTTGCTAATCCAAGCTCTTAATACAAAAATTTAAGGTTTATGTTAACTCGTATGACATTTAAAACCATGATGTCAAAGTGTCAGTTATGAAATATTCCTTCTCTAGTCTTCATCATTTGCAAAAGGGTTGAGATAAATGTTTTCAACCAATGAATTTCATCACATACACTAGGGTGATACAAATGCATTTGCCTAAGTCAAGTTCTAGTTCTGATCGAGCAAGCTAAACCCTCATAGTGTATGCCAAACTGGAGCTCAGATTTTGAGAATCAAGTGTTTAGCGGGTTTTGTTCATTACTGATCATTTCAAACAAACAAAAATTGACTGGCCATTAGGTGAGAACCCACAAACACCTGCCGTTTGTGGACACCATTCAGTTGTTCATTGTGACACATAACCTGCAGCATGGTTCAGAAAAGTCTCTTCAATTACCTTAGATCTTCAGGTTCCGAGAAACATGAAGATTACATCCAATTCATTATTTTTAATTTTAAAAGTTGTCATTAAAGTTCAGGCAAGTAAATCTCAGTGATGCTTGCCTTAATATGGGTATTTAAAACTCTTTGAATTTCTTGCACTTCGTACACTAAAGTAAAGATTAAGATTTTTTTCACTGAATTTTATGTAGATCGCAAACATTTTGATGTGGGATTATTTTTCATCCTTTATATGCATTGTGGTTAACATTGTTGTTATTTCATTTCTAGATTTGCTGCTATGTTTTATGGTTGAAGTTAATACATATATATATTTGTGTGTATTTAAACTGAATGGTACATTTGATGTATAGACATTTGTAGTTTGTTTATAATCTTTTCCTGTTGTTGTTGTGAAACTTAGGGGGTGTGAAATTTTTGAAAAAACTTGTAACTTGTCTTGTTTAAAGGATAAGATGCTAGAGAAATGTATTTCTCTTTATTAGAAGTCTATTTGACCCCTACCTGTCCCCAAAAATGTGCAAGAAAAATATTATAATTTAACGTGTAGGATATTTTGCATTTAATTAACAGTTAAGAACAGATCTTTGGGTTCACACATTGAGAATGTGAAATAAACAGCACTGATAATACAGTTGTTTGCATAATTTCTATAAATTTAAGTTTATCACATTTAGTTATTGTAATATATACATTAAGTGTGTTATTTTGCTGACACACCACAGAGGTGCTGTATTCAGGTGCATTGTTTTTAAAAGTGTGGAAAATGATAATATTAAGTGTTTCTAAAAAGTGTCCGATGAGCAACACTGAAACTTGGATCCCTTTTTGCTATATTCTCTGTGTTTGAAAATGAATAAACTAGATATATGTGGGTATTAATAATCATATTTTAATATATATATATATATATATATGCATATGGAGAATTTAGATGCATATGGAGAATTTTTTTGGAGCTTTCATAAAATATGCTATGAAATCAAAAGTGAACTATTTATCAAATAAAATCTTTACAAAGTATTATAAAGAAATCTAAAAAAATCTGACCTTATTATTCACTTCAAGTTTTATGAAATCTCTTATTTTTGGAGAAAAGTGCTTTATATTCATAGGCCTTTTTAGTCAAAGTGCTGCAAATTTATTAATACAATACCATTGGCAATTCAGTATTGTTGAAAATGGCATGTATCACATTTTGCATCTAACCATTTTGAATTTGTTAATTCATATATTTTATGGTTTATAGCATTTAGTTATTAGAATTTTACAAATCATGTTCTACTTTAATGTTGTTGTAAATGAAAATGGTGTTTAGTGTGTGTATTAAATTATATATATATATATATATATATATATATAAAGTTTCATAGGTATATGTAAAAACAACAAATGTCCGGGATAGATTTGCTTCAATGAAATTCTTAAATATAACAGTTCAAGTATTTTTCTAATTTTTATTATATTATATATTCTTCCTAGAGCAGACATTCAAACTTTACTATAAACAAATGCAGTGTAATAATATTGTTGAATGAATCTTAATATGTTGTTACTGTGTATGTGACTGAGGGTTTGTGAATTAAAAGGATATGTATCTTTTTGTTTATAGTTTTAATTTGAGGTTGTATAATATGAAAACTTGTTGTCCTGGGAGCAATATGAATTCCAAACCCCCTGAGCCTACATTCTTTTTGTTGTTGTTGTCATAATGTGTACTGAGGTAAACTGAAAATATGTTTCCTGATTTCTTTATACCTTCATATTCACTTTCAGCTAAAATACATTAGCATGAGTTAGTTTTATCTTACACTGTTCAATGGCTTAGAACATTTATGAACAATGCTTGATTTTCACAACATTTTCTGGAGGAACTTAAAATTCTCAAATGTTTTTCAGATGTCAGACTCTTTAGGTAGTATTTCTTATCACAGAGAATTTTTCCATAGACTTTCAGATAATCTTTATTGATTTATTAGCAGTTTTGTATACCCTGCTGATTTATTTCAAAACTGTGTGTGTGTGTGTGTATGTATGTACATATGAAAATTAAAATTTATCTATCTAATCTTGATACACTGAACATTAAAAACATATTAATTATATTATTATTGTTAGATATATTCAGTATTTTGTAAGCCATTCTTTTTGGTATTGATTAGGACGACTTGTTACAAGAGCTAGAGGATCTTGAACAGGAAGAAGTAGATCAACAGCTACTAAATGTAGCAGAGCCATCAATGGAGAAACTACCTAATCCACCACAGGCTGAACCAAGTCGACCAAGTATGTCTTTTAGTTTTTGTCACTGTTCAGAGAACTAAATATTCTTGGGTGGATGATTTGAGTAAGTATGTTTTGTAGGACTTATGTTTGTAGACATTTTGATATTCTTGGTGTGGATGATTTCAGCAAGTATGTTTTGTAGGATGGTATACTATAATATTCTTCAATTTCAAGCAACCAGAGCTATGATATTTTTCAACTTGCAATATAACTTTATACTGATGGTATACTTTTAAGGCCCGGCATGGCCAGGTAGTTAGGGCGCTCGACTCACAATTTGAGG